CATTAGGCCCTAAGTAACATTGATAGATTTTCTTCGTCGACTTTCTCTTTGTATCCCCACGACCACACACTTACAAATATCTACTTTTACACGAGACGTAATCCATATTGGACGTAACTCATGGAACGTAAACAAACATTTCATGTACAATTAAGTGTTCTCAAACCGAAAGATAAGCAACTCGACGAAGAGAACGTTTGATTGAAATGATTTTCTCGTTCCTTTTAACTGATTCTTATGTCAAGAGGGCCGCTTACATGTGTTTTTCGTAGTGTGCATGTAAAGACATTCCCAGGAATTTTCAGTACACAGATCGAAAAAAAGAAGCTTTTATCCCGAGACCGAGCCCTAGACGGGACTTGACAATCGAGCTTCTCACTCTTCTTAATGTTTTTGAAGAATGCCCTTTGAAAAGTTGTGCATATCGTGTTTGACAGAGTTGACCAATGATGCCAGGAATGTAAAATATTTTCTCTATCTTAATTTGGATTTTATTCGGACTTTCTACCGCAGTTTAGCAGCTTGTACATCATTTTGGCACAACACAATAGAAACAACCATAATCAAACAACAATATCCATCGCTTAAAATAATCAGTGCACTCAATTTTTCAACTTTCCTTTAGTAAAAATAAACAATTAACAACGCCATTGACGTCAAAATTGATTCTGGCATTACTGTCAGCCAGATTGATGCAATCATTCTGTCATTTTTATTCCGCGATTGCTACTGTCAAATCGACCAATCAGAAACTGGCTCGGATTTGACAGTAAATTGGCTCGAAATCGCTACCCGATTGTCAAGTCCCGTCCCAGCTTTTATACAGCATGCTGCATGCATGCAATACGACAAACACAAGAAGAAACGGTTAGGTGCTCAAGTTATTAACGAAAGGGAAAGCCGACGAAGAGAATCGCTCAATGTTACTTAGGACCTAATGCAATGTTCAGCGTTTGATTGCATTGATTTTCTTGTCTCTTTAAACTGCACACTTCGAAAATCCTAATTTTACACGTGACGGAATCCATCTTTGACATAAAGGATGACACGTAAACAAACATGTCATGTAAAATTAAGTGCTCCGAGAATGAAAAGTTTGTTACTCGACGATTGAACTGAATTTCGCGTCTATCATGACTTAATTTTATGTCAAAATTGACGCTCGTATATGTCAGTCCCAGAACACCTAAATTTACATGATTTTTTCTAAGTGTGTGATTCTTATGTCATTAGGGCGCTGTCGGTGTCAGGGTACTGAAATTTACATGCCTTTACCGTATTGTGTACCCAACTTTTCACGCTTTTCTCCTGTCCTCAAGTTGTGTGTTCTTTGAGAGCTACTTCAGCTGTTAAATGAAAGCTGTACACAGGTCGAAAGAAACATGTAAATTTACGCTAAATATAGCGCAGATAATATTAATGCGTCCTTAGCATATTTTTATACGTGTTCAGAAAATTTCATGCTACTTTTTTGAGTCATGTAAAATTACAAACCATCATCGCGGAATTTTCAACGATCGTGTAATTTTACTCCTATTAATAAAGTTTAATCATATAAGAAGCACAATTAATTTTGATTATCAAGTAACTAAAACATTTTCGGTAGAGAATCTTTTTTATAACTATTATGTAAGTCTAGTCAAGCGTCATTTCTGGCCACTGCTACTGCACACTACGAAAAAGTCATGTAAATTTCCGTGCCCTGAGACCGACACATGCAAGCGGCCCAAATGACATAAGAATCAGTTGAAAGAAACGAGAAAATCAATCCAATCAAGCGTACTTTTCGTCGAGTTGCGTATGCTTCGGTTTAGGAACACTTAATTTTACATGACATGTTTGTTTATGTTCCATAATTTACGTCAAAGATGGATTACGCCTCGTGTAATATTTATTTCTAAGTGTGTGAGTATGGCCCTATATTCAAGTTAGAAACGTCTTATATCGGTCTGGACGGTCTGGGTAGCATGACCCAGCATACCGCAATCCGTTTTTGTTACCGTGGAAAACGAAAAAAAAATAACAATCATCTAATTATCATGTATTGCCAACCAACCATCACTATTACCATCCATTTACAAGATTTTATAATTGAAATAACGTAGATTGATTGGCCATGAAAATCAACCAAAACGCACAAGAAAAATGGCAGTCTGATTTTTCTGCTTCTAGACAGGTACTCTGAATACGTCCAGAGAGTTTACGCGAAAGTCGTTGTAAATTTATAAGAGATGCCGCAGAGAATTACTTGCGCAGTGTAAAATTCAGATATAAGAAGAAGCATTTTACGCGATGTCGTGTAATTTGCAATGATTAGTGAGATATACTTCTTGTGCACGATATATTGCATAAAATTACGCTAGAACTCTGTGTAGAGTAAAGTGGGGCAAGTGTGCCACCCCCAATCAGTTTGAAAAGAAATACATTTTCAAAGTTACTGCCCCCATGAGATTAAAAATGATGTTCCAATTGGGTAATTCTGTCATGCCTTCCTGCGTTCTGAGTGTTGACTTCGCTCCTCCAAGACGTTGAACCCTGTGCATGATTTCGGGTAGCTTCCTGCTCCTTTATATCATTCAGCACTTCCAACTCATATCCAGCATCTTCTCCAATTTCTTCAAAGTGGTAAGTTAGTAAATCACTAATTTCTTCCTTTTGCTCCTCAAGTGTTCCCTCATGGGCATTCATCAGCCGTAATCGTTTTCTGAAACGTCCATCAGCATCAAGTATCAAAACCGGTATTGTTGCACTTCAAGCACAATATCCCGGTCGTCTACTTCTGCAGTATCAACCAGCTCATTCAATGGACGTGGTGCTATTGTGGCTGTTGAAATGGCGAGACAAATTGAAAATAGGTCAGCTTCTCGTAGCTTCCTTCACCACCTTAAGCTCTTTTCGTTTATTGAGCTGTTGGCAGACTGGGCAGGTGATATAAGCGATCATCTTTCTTCCTGAACCTTTTTCAAATTTGATCTCCCTGGGCTTTGGCAAAACCTTGAGGTAGTTTAATTAGGCTACCAGGTCCCAGGGCTGATCTGGATCTTTACCTCATTGGAAAGATGCACACTAGTGTTGCCAGATCAGTGTTGATGCTTAAAAGTGCATTAGAACCCACTGATAAAAGCATAAGATTTTTTTTCCTTGATTTGTGTTCTGTCGATCTTGTTTTCCGTGCTGAGCACCAATGCTACCGACACCAGGGAGGCAGCTTTATACCTGAACCCTACCTATCGACCCATCAACTCATGAACCGGGGACCAACGGCTTTACTTCCCGAAGGAAGGCGTGATCAGAGATGTTATGCCTCAGAACATCCCGGCGGTGCCGACTGGCATTGAACTCAGTCCTGCTGGGGTGAGAGGTAATCTAGCATAAGATTAATCATCACCGGACATTGTTTTTTGCTCTGTACTAATAATAAATGATTAAGCACAGCATTTGATAGTTTAGTAGGAATGCTGGATTTAGTCACAGTAGAAATCATGTGTTCTTTTTAAAATAAATCCTTAAATGTATTGGATTTATTTCTATGGGTATGCACGTTTGGAAAGTATCATCACAAAGATTCTGCACTCGGTCTACAGCTTGTCAGCGGGAAGCGTTATTTTTTTATTATCTATTTATAGAGACAATTCTTAGTAATACGAAGCGAAAGACAAATCAAGCATTAAGTACAAGACCTTCAAGAAAACTAACAACACGAAGTCTGCACATTGTAGACGAAATACGCGTATCTGTCAAGGATAAGAAAATAAGGTAGTGGAATTAAATGAAAAATAATAGTGCTTCTCTCTCTTTATTTAAACTAAAATTTGATTCAAAGCAGAGCAAAACTCTTAGTAATGAATTGATGTATAGTTAAATATCTCATTCACATTTCAAATTATTTCCAGCTTACACATTCCATATCATTTTGCAGTATCGTGGCCAACTAAATCCAAAAAATATCCAACCACCTACCTCAATCTAATTATTATCCCTTCCCATGGCGATCATGTAGCCTGCAGCCATTACCCCTCCTTTACTATCGGACTTGGATTGACTTGCGCTCTAGCTCCTTTATTGTGAGGGGATGAGCATTGAGAGCAATCTCAAAATTTTCTTGATGTGTAGAAGCACAACACCAATTTCATTTTGGATCCTGTCCCAGAAATCATCCTACAAGAAATATTTATATCTGCGGATATGTATGTTCGATTCCCGCATTTATAGCTTTTCCCGAATGGGTTGGCCACCCTAAAAACGATGGAATTTACTTTTTGAAGTTAAAAGATTTTTTAATTTTACTGAAAATCATAGACTTCATTTGGGCAAACATTTCCATGGAAAATTTCGTATAAATAATCCTTCCACAACCTTTCAAGTTTTCATCTAATTTAATCTTAAATTCAATCGAGCTGTAGTCAACTTTCACTATCAAATGACTCGACAAACCAAAACAAACATCTTTTTTGTTCGAAAGTGACAGTGGGGAGCACCATCAACAGCCGATTCTAAAAAAAAACCGTAACTCTCACTTTAATAGTTGAACTAATAGCCAGCCGCATCATCATAATTTATCGTATGCAAACAACCATGCAGCAAACAAGTACCTACCTGCCTACAATGTTTGCAGACGATGCGATTGTCATCATTGTCTCCACACAACTTGCGAAAGTCAACCCGGTCCCGCCGAAGATCAAGCGTTCAAAATCACTCACGTGCTCATTATGAACCCTTGCTGGTGGGTATCATGCGCGGATCCAAGAACTAGAGCGCATCCAAGTTCACATATGCTAGGTTGATCCCAGAAAGTTTGTCAACCGTTTCGTCGTTGTCGTCGCTTGCTGCGGCGGGATAATCGCGGATCATGGCTCGTTTGATTGCAGAAAACAAGTGCGCCGGTTCTGGTTCATTGATTCCTAGTGCGTTTCTGAGATTTAGATGGCGCTTCGGTTCCGGTGGATGAGCGCTGGCGTATGGGAAGTGCTTGGGTGGAAAATCAAGGTTGACTTAGTCTTTGCGCATTATTCAAGGCGATCGGTTCGGTTTTGTTGTTAATTCGGATTGGTGAAAATGTTCGGTGGAAAGCTTTTCATTTTTCTTCTGGGACTTGGTGCAAGTTTAGGTCTTAATGCAGTATACGTGAACAACCATAAGATCGATAAGTACGAAGTCGACAAGATCAAACTGCTGAGTCCAACACAGTCAAGTGGACATGTGACAAAGAACGATCTGATCACAAAGGACAATTTTACGAATCCCCTGCATTACTATCAATATTTAGTGGGCAACGATCCCGGTGGTTATGTAGATTTATTATGGGGCAACAATACGACGCACTTACCAACGATCTTTCGCGTTACAACGACAACGGAGCCATCAACTACGAGTACGGTGAACTACGCGGATGACTTGTCACCTGTTTTGAATACGTTGAACAACACCACTCCTATCTACAAGGGAGACTATCACGTGGAGCAAATTCAGACAACTACGGCACGCCCAATGAAACGGTTGAAAAAACCTACCAAGAAACCACCACCAGTAGTCAAGAACCATACTCAAATTTCCCCGGAAACTCTGGAGCTGTTACGAAAGTACTTCACCATGAACTGTACTTTACAAAAACCTTCAACAACTCCAATGACAAAGACGGATGTTAGCACGAAAAAGCCTAAGGTGAAGGACAAGAAGAAGGGGACTAAACCGCCGACGTTGGCAACTGCTGCAGCTACCACTTCACCCCGGCCAGCGAAGCCAGTCAATAAGCAAATAAAGTCATCCAAGCACAAGAAACCAATCGAGCAGATTGTCTACGTGGATCCACCGGTGATCTCCTCCATCAGCGGAGTTCTGGAGAGTATGTACAACTACATGCAGGATGCTTTCGTCAGTACCGAGTACATTTCGATTGAGGACGATGATCAGGAGCAGGAATTACCGAAGCAGAAGTTGGCGAAGAAAGCGAAGAAGATCAAGCGAAATTTGGTTGAAGTGAATGAAAAGGAGTTGGTTACTGCTCCGGTTGGATTCACGTCCAAGCAATATCCGGGACAGGATGATTCGAAGCGGGTGACGGTGGGTGGGATTCCTTTGGGAGTGGGTTCCACTGGACAGTCGAACAAAAATAAACTAACGACGAACATTCATGTCACTAGTGAGTATACGCCAGCAACTCCAGCAACGGTGCCTTTTCTATCGCAAGCAGTGATAGATGATAAAGATGGAAGTAGTGAAGAAAGTGAATCGGAAGAGGAAAATTACTATGCAGGGTTTGCCAATACAAGCTACGAAGAAGACGACGAGGATGACGAGGGCAGTCAGGAGGAAGAGGAAAACAGTGAAGAATACGGTGAAAGTGCGGAAGAGACAGGCAATCAGGTTGGAGGTTTTGTGAATGACAAAGATTACGATTATGAAGATGAAAACAGTGATATAGGAAACGCAGAACCTACAAAGGTGAAGAATCAGAAGCAACCGTCTAGCGTTGAAGAATACAGTGATGAAGAGATGGATGATTACGATAGTGGAGAAGACAATGGTGGTGGTGGTGGAGGGAATTTTTTCTCGGGACTTTTTTCGTCTATAGGAAGGTTCGTACGGTCTTTGGGATTTGGTCCTCGAACTACGGTGGAGTACGACGATTACGATGAATCGCGCGGTACAACCCCAAGGATCGTTGAGCTGAATAAACGGCCAACACGTAGTACCTCCGATCAGGACGCGCAGACTCAAATCGAGCGAATTAACGATGCTACTGAGAAGCAGCAACCTTGGTATCACTATCCACCGTATTTGTACAACGAAATTGAAGAACCGGAGGTTCAGCTTCCTGCATTCGATACCAATACGGTAACTGAAGATAACTCTTACACTGATTGGTTCCAGTTCATGATGCCTTGGGATTTCTTCAACCCATGGAATCCGTGGGACAATGGACCTACTACTGAAAGTTCTGTTGAACCCCTTGAGATAACCGTGGCACCAACGACCACAACGACCACCGAATCGAGCATCGGTTGGCTCCCGAATCTCTTCGGAGGGGAAGCACCCACTCATGCAGCCGCTTTGAAGCCAACTTCTCCCAGACCTTTGATACCATTCCTTCCGGCATCGGATCCTCTTCAAAAACCAGAAGCATGGCTAGGTGTTCTCGCTCAACACGTGTTTACCACAACTAGGAAACCAAAAACCACCACCCAAGTTCCATCGACAACTCACCTAACGAAGCCCACCAAGGTACACTACAGTGGCTATCAGCTGTGGCGTGTCTATCCAAGAAGCACTGAGCACCTTCGATCGCTGGAGGACTATCGACAATCTCCGGAGGGTGTGAAGCTTCAATGGTGGAAAGGACCAGCCCTCCGGGGAGCTAACGATATTCTTGTACCCCCGCATATGCTGGAAACTATGGCCGAATACCTGCAGGACGAAGACATAACGAAGGAAGTCGTGATTCGGAACCTGGGGCAAGCAATTCTGTACGAGAACCCCAAGATGACCCGACGCGAGCAGATTGAGATGGAGGTGCTGAACGGACACCCGCTGACGTGGTATCGCTACCATCGGTATGGCGATGTAGTGAAGTTTATGAACTATTTAGCGCGGCGATTCCCGAAGAATGTGGAATTGATTCACATTGGTAGAAGTTTCGAGGGACGGCCGTTGACTGTGGTGAAAGTGCGGTACGAAGGGAAGCGATCACTTGGGGGTAAAGTGAGCAACTCAAAGTATATGAAAGGGAAAAAGGCGAATGCTGTGAAGCGGAAAGGTCAGCGCACTGCCGTTTTCATCGAAGCAGGAGCCCATGGACGGGAGTGGATCGGACCAAGCGTTGCCACTTGGATATTGGATTCGCTAGTGAAAGCGATCAGCAGTAATGGTAAGGTAGCGTTGGTCGAGTTATTTCAATTATTTTTATCACGACCACATTTCTAGATACGGAGATGGAAAACATCAAAGCAATGGATTGGTACATCCTGCCGGTTCTGAATCCAGATGGCTACGAATATAGCCACGAGTATGACCGAATGTGGCGTAAATCACGATCCATTCACCGGGATACTCAAAGTTCCGGAATTCTATCTACTGCGTAAGTAACAAAGGGTTTGAAATATCACTGATGACCTATTACATGTGACTTTATTTCAGTCTCAACTGGCTCCAGTCGCAGAGTTCCCTCTCCGTTGACTCGGATAAAAGTTGCTTCGGAGCAGACCTGAATCGTAACTGGGATCACCGTTGGAATCAGGAGGGTGCATCGAAATCTGCCTGTAGTGAGTACTACTCCGGGTACAAACCACTTTCCGAACCGGAAACCAAGGCACTCAGCAAATTCTTGACAAACGATCGTCGAAACATCCAAATCTATCTGTCCTTGCACTCGTATGGTCAGACGATCAGCTATCCGGATCAGAAGCGATCGAAGGGTTCGGAACAATCCGGGGACGTGCACGAGATGGCTGCCGTTGCTGTCGAAGCGTTGCGAGGTTCGGGAAGTCACGTTTCCTACCGGGTTGACAGCGAAGGTGAGATGAGTTATCCGAGTTCAGGTACGTCGGTGGAGTTCGCTCGGTATGAAGCCGGAATCAAGTACAGCTATTCGGTAGATTTGCCGGATACGGGAACGCATGGTTACCTTCTGCCACCGTCAGGTATTGAGAACACCGCTAGGGACACGTTCGAGTTGATCAAAGGGATGGTTGATTATATTTAGGTCACTTATGCTAAGCAATAATGTACAATTCCTAGGATAAATACAGTTTTTAAACACGATTAATGTCGCTGAGAAAGTCCGTCAACCACCGATCGAAGCGGTACAAGTGTTGCTCAAGATCATCTATGGTTTCAAAACTATCTCTGAGGGGGGCTGCGTTACCTGGATTGGAGAAAACCGCGTGGATGAAACGTTCGCAGATCATGATGGCAACGACGGCATCCATTCGGGTCGTTTCGCTGCGAAAACAAAGCCGGGCATGAGCTTCTGTTAGTTTGTGCAGAGCCGAAAACGAGGTTTGGGTGAGAGATTCTGCAGAGGAAGCAATCAGGATCAGTTCAATACTTCAATTTTGATTTGGGACATACCTGGTACGTTTAACCGGGTAGCAACGAAGTAGTCACTCAGCAACTTGGAAGCAGCCTCAGTCATCTGTACTTGTTGATAGAATAGAATTGCTATAAACTGCCGAATATCTTCTTCGGGGACCAGAACTTGTTCGTGATCAGGCTCATACCCCACTAGAGACCTCTCCAGTATAAAGTCCATCATTGTATCCGGAGCCTGCTCCGATTGAACGATCGGTATCCCAAAGGCACTGAAAGGTAGAAAACAAAGTTTTGGCGAGCATCCACGCAGAAACCATCCAACTACTTACTTCAAAAACATTATGATCGTGCTGAGATCCTGTTTGACCTTCTTCGTATAGTTCCAGCAGCTCCAAATCGCACACTCCAACGGGTAAGTAATCGGATGGTTTTCGATAATAACCTGGTCGGATTCAATCTCCCGAAGAATACGCGCCGAATTGCTCGGTTTCTGCATGGCCCAATCGCCGATGTAGCAGACTCCGGTACGTGCCAGCGTCGTGGCTCCACATTCGACAAAGTTGTCTTCTAGAACTCGTCCGCCCGCCAAGGGATCAAACATTCCGGCCATAAAACGACGAGCCAACTGGCCAACAGAGGTCATCGCCAGGTGGGATATCAACGTGTCGGCTCCCAGAGCCATTACGTGGAAGGGATGCGATTGGCTGGTTTTTTGGACCGAAGCTATGCTGAGCAGAAGACTCAACTTGAGTTGATTATAGGTACTCATGGGTATCTCCTCTTGGCAGAGTTGAGCTGCCAGCATGTAGGAGAAGCAGTAGTCGCTGTATCTCTCAGCTATGGAGGAGTAAAGATTGCGTATGGAAACTGGAATTTCCGAGAGCTCCCGGTAGAACGGAATGAACGAGTCCGTGTCCTCTTGTTTGAAGTAGACCGACGAACTTTGTGACAAATCAAGCATTTGAGAGTCTTGAGTTTGCTGTGTTTCTACAGGTGTTCGAGCTTGCGTAAATTTCCAGTTTTGAGAATTTCCAGCTTCAAATGTTAAGGTTGCTTGCAACGGCTTCTCATCGTCGTTTATGTCACTGCTCCACGTTAAGGCCAAAGCCGGGGATTGTTCATTTACTTTATATTCAATCAGCGATAAGATCTCATCGTCCCCATCTTCGAAAACTATCTGTGACTCAAGACCTCCAACATCTCCGTTGATGATATGCGGCTCCAATCCCGTCATAATCCCCAGGTTCTCCTCGCGTCCAGTTTGCTTGGACACTTCGACTCGCAAACTATCGCCGCCGTTCTCTTCATCGCTCGTCATGTGATAAATTTTTACTCCCCGTCTTTCAATCATCTCAAACTCATCCGGATCTGACACCAACCCCACGGTCGACTCCATCGCTACAGCTCCTCGAATGCCCACGCGTTAAACAGCTGATTCAACGGGTTGAACACACCGGTAATGACGTATTCGTGGCCCAATTTCAGTGGTTCACACAGATCGTCAGCCAAACGGACCAGAATACTCTGATAGATTCGACCCACGGTCGTACGTGTCTTGAGACTGTCGGAAGCGAACGCTCGTACGGTGCACAAGTCGGAAACGGCGCGGATCCGTTGATGTTCCTGCATGGGAGCACCACAGTCTTCGCACTGGGGAGCCCGCTTGATTTCACCGGTGATGGCAATGCGGTGCGGGTCGACCGAACACAACCAAACCGATTGCAGGCTGTCGAGGGTAGATGGACGAGGAAGGTTTGAAAAATTTCAAAATTATAAGCTCCTGGTATTAGCATACAGAATGCAAGTCAGGTCCACAGAGTTGGTTAAAGTCAGGGTAGAGGTAACTCTAAGACCAGAAGGTCCCGAAGAAACGTGCTCAACTTTTTGGCTCAGCTCTGGTACTATCTTCGGTCCCAAGCTAATCGATGCACCCCTCGAAACATAGGAAAATCCACGAACCCCTCATTTTATCTGTCAAACTTTCATAGCGAATCAAAACAAACATAGCGTGGTACTAGAGTTTCGACTAGAATGGGGTATGTTAATCGATTTGCTTGCTACCAATAGGCTAGTCAAGTAGTGAGCCAATTAAAAATCGTTAGTTTCGTATTGATTGTTGGTTCAATGGCATTTGAAGGGTACCTGGAGTTCAGACAGAATTTTTTTGATTTTCTAGAGTTGTAAGTTGTGAAAGTTTTAAACATTTGTGGAGTATCGAAATTTCTTGAAATTCCAAAGAGTGCGAAGGGTTGCTAGAGATCTAGAAATTTCGGAAATTGGTGCAGCTCCAAAAGTTTTTCGACTGTTATCATAACTCCTAAACTACCGGAATCACTCGACGTTACTTAGAGTTCTTAGTCTTTTAAAAACGGTTAGAGTTCCTACAGTTCTCGGAATTAGAGTGTAGAATTTTAAACTTGAGTTTCAGAAGCTCTTGGACTTCTGAAACACACGTTTTAAAAATGACTGACTTTTTCCATTTCTGAAAATCCGGGAGATTGCTTGAGTATGAGAATCTCTTGAAGTTATGAGGGCTCCAACGAGTTTTAATTTTTATAGGAGCTCTATAGTTTATAGAGGAAGTTTCAAAAGTTTGGGATTTCTTGAAGTTCCAAAAGTCCTAGATGTTTCAGAGATTTCCGCACTGCTGGATTTTATCCGGAAGCTCTAAGAGCATCCAAACTACAGGTACTTTTCGACGCTTCTATAGTTTGGTTTTGTAAAATTTTCGCGGTTCTTGTAGCTGGAGTTGTAAAAGTTCTAGGAGTGCTAGAAATCATTGAGCCAAAGATAATTAAAGATATTTCGTCGATCTTGTTTTCCGTACTGAGTACCAATGTCCGTACTGAGTACCAATGTCTGAACCCTACCTACCGATACCGATAGATATTGAAATCCAAAACGCGATTCAGGTTTTTTTTGGGAGAAAATCACCATTAACGATATCGAACTCCAAAAAAGCTCTTGGAAACGTGATACAAGCCTTGGGGAAATACACGATGAATGATATTGAAACACATAAAAAATAATATATTTAGAGAAGAACTCCCAACAACTAATCTCCAAAACGCCTTATAAATCGCGAATCAGTTCTTATTTACGGAGAAAATTGCGAATATTGAACTCCAGAACATCCTAAAAGGCCTTATTTAGGGAGAAAAATGCAAATCATCCTACGTATTGCACTTCAAAACACCCCAAATTTAGTATCAGGAAAAAAAATCCATGATATAACAGATTCATTCAACCAGGGGTCTCATTTTGGAACTCGAAACGACAGACTTTTTCGTACAAGCGTTCATACAAAAAATGCTTCGTTTCGACTTCCGCAATTAGGCCACAGGTAATACCTATGATAACCATCAGTGAGAGTCTAGGGTCTACTACATAACATCATACCAACTACTCACATATACTTCTGCAGGGAACTGTACCCTTGGACAACGCACCGGAACACCGTCAACCCTATGGACACGTTTTTCGGTTGCGTCCGAAACAAGTACCGCTCTTCAAGGGGCAATTTCGTTCGCAATCGGCAGTAGATCTGTTCCAGTCGAACCTTAAATGACCGTTCCAGTTGTTCGAAGAAGGAATTTGCTATGCTCAGAGTCACCTCTCGGAATGCCTTTTCGTAGTAGATCGGCTCCCGGATGAAGTTTTCCAGAACGCCGTTGTCTGAAAATGGTTTCAATAATCATATATTTTCAAATATTATCCAAAAAACAAACCTACCAAACTTCTTCAGTGCACCGTAATCTATTTCCAGTGTCACGATCAGTGGCCCCAGCAGCAAGTCCGGATTGCACCCGGCTTCAACGAACCGTTCGTGAAACTCCAAACTGTACCGTTTAATCCGGTTCCACAGTTCGGTTCGTTGGATAAAAATCACAATCCGTTCGCGTATATACAGCTCCTGCTTCAGTCCTTCCAGATGGCACTCGGTTAGCAGGGTCGAGTAATGGTTTTTACTATCACCGAAAGTGGACATTCCGTCTGCGAAATCACGCAATCTTCGTCCATCAACGAACGCGAGCACGTGACAGTTTGAAAAATCGATGAGAGGTGTTGTTTTGCGGGACTGCAGCGCTGCACAAGCGGTCGTCACCAGAAGCTCGATAATCGATGAAAAGCACAAAAGCGCGATGCTTTTTCAGGGGAGCACGGTTGATCAGATCAACTCAAAATTGAGTCGAGACGACCGAATTTCGTAAAGTGAGTTGAATTTTCCGGGCAAAAGCCGTGGAAAGCTAGAAATTATTCGAGAAACTTTTCCTGGAAAAGCCCGGAAAATTCAGCTCACCCTTCAGTAAAAAAAAATGGGTTAACTCAGTGGATTCACTCAAAAGTGAGTTGAATTTTCCGGGCAAAAGCCATGGAAAACCAGGAAAAACTTCTCGAATATGTGGAAAATCCACCAAAGTTTTACTAAGGCTGCACGGTGGATGAGAACGACCCAAATTTGAGTTTAGATGAGTAAATTTCCCTCATGGTTTTCCAGGTTTGTCCAGGAAAAACTTCCTGAATATGAAAAAAAGTAAAGATTGGATTCACTTTTTTCTTCATTTTCTGGAAGATTTTTTAGGTTTTCCACAGGAAACCATGAAGCAAGTTTACTCATCATTGAGTTCCTGCACATTTGGCGATTGTAGGTAAACTAAACTCAAATTTGAGTTGTTCTCATACTAAAAGACTGAGTGAAACTTCTATCGATTTACCTCATATTTGAGAAGTTTTTCCTGGAAATGACCGGAAAATTCAATTCACTTTTGAGTAAATCCACTTTTGTCGAAATTGAGTCGAGTCAACTCAATTTCATCAAAAGTGGATTTACTCAAAAGTGGGTTGAATTTTCCGGGCAAAAGCCACCAGGCAAAACTTCTCGAATATGAGGAAAATCCATGAAAATTGCACTCAGTATAGGAGTATACTAATAGACTGAGTGAAACCTATATCAATTTTCCACATGTTCCAGAAGTTTTTCCTGGAAAAGCCTGGAAAATTTGAATAAATCTACATTTGACGAAATTGAATCGACTCGACTCAACATTTAAAGGGCGAACACGAAATTATTGCGACACATTCAACAGGGCATAACTTTTTTACCATTGGGTAAAAATCAACCTAATTTTGCACACTTTCTCATTGATGTGTATTGTGTACATGCTGTCAAACTCGAAGTCGTGTTTTTCGATTCAACGAAAATGGAGGTGAACCAACGCGAGTTGAGAGAACAAATTCTTTCCAAACACCTGGAATTTCCTGACCTGTCGCACCGGCAGTTGGGAAAAATGTTGAACATTCACCATTCAACCGTCTCCAGAGTGTTGCAGCGGTTCCAGGAGCGGTTGACGTTGGACCACGGCAAAGGAGCTGGAAGAAAACCGGGATCGGAGAACAAAAAGACGGAGGGAAAGGTGAAGCGGATGATTAAAGCAAATCCCAACGTCTCAAGCCGTGATTTGGCTAAAAAGATCGGCATGTCACAGAGCTACGTCCAGAATGCAAAGAAGAGAGCTGGACTACATACATACAAGGTACAGAACTTCCCAAACCGCGATGAGCGGCAACAATCGACGGCTAAAACTCGGGCACGGAAGCTCTACGAGAAGATGCTGACAAAATATGGCTGCTGTGTGATGGACGACGAAACGTATATAATAGCCGATTTTAAGCAAATTCCGGGGTTGGAGTTTTTCACCGGCAAGAGCAAGTTCGATGTGGACGACAAATTTAAGAAGAAGAAAATGTCAAAGTTTGCCTCCAAATATCTCGTTTGGCAGGCCATCTGCTCTTGCGGACTGAGGAGTGAGCCTTTCGTGACAAAGGGCACAGTAAATGACGAGATCTACAAATCTGAGTGCCTCGAGAAGCGCCTTTTGCCGTTCTTGCAGCAGCACGACGAAGCTCCGCTATTTTGGCCAGATTTGGCATCATGCCACTCAGTCATAGGCTAGGAGTATACGAATAGACTAAGTGGAACCGCTTCCAAGTTTCGCCAAATAAAAAAAATCCTAGAAAATCTCGGAAAATTCAACTTAAAATTGAGCAAATCCGCACTTTTGGCAAAATTGAGTCGAATTCAATTCAAATTTGAGTCGATCTCATCGCCGTGTTGATTGCGGTAGGCGAGCAGCAAAAACGACTGTCAAGTTCTCCATCAAGCAAAAGAGGAACGCATTTGAAAATCCGAAAAATGGCCACGAAAAAGAAAACGGAAGTACCTAAATCATTTCGTAGTTTTGAAGTTATTCAAACATTTACTGAATGCAAATTCACAGGAAGAAAAAATGCAGCGTCGCCTTTTGGCACGCTTTCGCTTCCGAAGTCTGGTCCGGATGGTGATTTGCAACAATTACTGGTTGTCGGAAATCGAGGACCAGGAGTTCGGGGATAATGCCCGCCGGAACATTGCCATCATTGTCCGACGCAAAAGCCGCAAGGGATTGCTGTCCATATTAGTACAGTATCCAAGCATGTTTGTCCCCCAGCTTATTATAAATCCTAATTAACCTTCAAGGAGAAAATCATCCTCAATCAACCGGTGCGTAACCGAACCGAGGAACAGAAAGCCAAGCTGGCGGGAGTTTTCCGCAAGATGAAATGTTTTTCCCGATTCTCGCTGGCAGCGCGTGAACAGTTGGCCAATTATGCTCGCTTTCACTACTACAGTGCCGGTCGTACGGTTCTGCGGGAAGGAAACGAAGCATTTGCGGTCTATTTTGTTCTGAATGGGGAAATCACCGTCAGCCGGTTGCAGTGGGATCCGGTAGCGCTTATGATATTCATCGAATCGACTGAATATTTTGAATTTCTTGTTTTCGCCCAGGTTTACAAACAACACGTCGATGTACCGTGCGGCGTTCGCGTGCCGGGGGATATGTTTGGTGAAATTGCGTTCCTCTACGATTGCTCACGAACTGCGACCTGCACCACTGCAAGTAAGTTTATCTCACGGTTATTACCTACATGGACTAATTCGGCTCACGGGGCTCGCGTTGTTGTGCGGGAACAAATCGAAACCATTCGGGGGCAATGTTATCATGTTTTTACTAACCCAACTCTTGAAAAATCGTTTCACGATCAGATGGGATATTGACATGCAATTCCGTCGTCATTGTGGTCGGCAATCTTGGGGAGCTCAAATCGGGTGGGCGTTGTTTCCAAATGCGGTCGGTAATCGAATGTAATGTTATTATATGCTATTGATGTGTTGTGAACAAATTTTATGGTTAGGGTATGGGATATTGTCTTCGCTGTCGTTCTGGATGAGGATATGAGCGATTCCAGACAAATTCGAAAATCCATTAATTTTCGTATTTTTTATTTGGATGGAAATTTTTAAAAACGTTTCTCACGACCAAAAATTCCAGTTTGTATCTTCAGATCACCATTTTAAATCGAACCTTATTTTTGAAAAGGGCATATAAAAAAAAATGTTAAGCTTATCTTCAGAAAACTGTTACTCGAAAAATGTTTGTCCAATCGGTTTGGTACCTTCGGCAACGTTGTAGGGAACATCTGGAAATTAAAAAAAAATTGCACCTTTTTAAAATATAAATTAAACATTAAAAAATATAGTTGAAGATGCTAATTTCAAATAGCAGACTAAAGTGGTAAATTTTATACTATAGATGAGGAGATTTAAGTATAGAATTGATAGTTCCGTCAGAGTACGGCAGTGTGAAAATTGCATATAGAGAGTAGAAAGCGCGCAAGGACAACTTTAGGAAGGTACAAATCGGTTTGATCATCTCTCTTTACCAAACTCTCCAACGGGGGAGAGATTCTGCAAATGAACCGCCGTGTTAACTGCTTCTACGTTCGGTTCTTGCGTTTCGCAACTCCATTATGTTGTGGTGCGTAACTTGCGGTGTACTCTGGGACGATTCCGTTAGCCCTGTAGAACTTCCCGCATCGCGAATGACAACGGGCTTCCTTCCGAAACGATTACATACCATGTTGACATACTCCTCGATTTTGTCCGCAGCCTCGGACTTCTTCTTGAGGAAATAGACCACGGTGGACTGACTGCATTCGTCGATCATCATGAGAAAGTACCTCCTGGCGTGTTCATCGGGCCACAGATGTCTGTATGGATGAGATCGAGTACCTTCATTGATTGCTTTTCGGCCTTCTTTGGAAACGAGGCAGCTTACCCTCTGCACAGCACTCGCATGATCACTGTATGTCGTATGGCCACGTTCTTTGCCAAATATTCACGTACCACACGCTGGATCGATTCAAGGTCCCTATGTCTTAGCCTTCGATGCCACACGTGCACCCAGTCCTTGGGATGTTGTTCGGCGTGCATTTCTTGTTGCTTGACGATTTTCAAACAGAACAATCCTCCAACTTTTTCTTGCAACAGCTTCAACTCTTCCTCGGCGCTTGATAACACTTTCTCGTGAGTCCGTAAAATGTTACTTCAGCTCCCTTGGTGATCAGTCGGCTAACCGAAGCCAGGTTCGACTCTAGTTCAGGAACACAGAACACATTCGATAAGATGACTTCCTGTTCCTCACCTCGATCGTCGTAGCAAAACAACCTACCGGAACCACGGGTGTCTCGTTTCTATCGACCAAAGTGATGGATATTCCAGAACTGCTTCTCAGCTCATCGAAAAACGTCCGGTCGGAGCACATGTGAGACGTTGCTCCCGAATCGATGATACAAGCCTTTGCCTTTCGGTGGAGGCTTCAATTTTCTTCAACCGCTCGATTTTTTCTGAACCTCGTCTAGCAGCATCCTCTTAACCAACTCCAAGGTAAGCTCTTCGCCCGATCTACTCTACAGTGCTGTCGTAAGGGTGTCGAAGGAATCTGGCATACTCTTCAGTACGTTGGACAAACTAGCGAAGAGTTCGTCCATAGGGAAAAGATGACCTTGCATATCTCCGTCGTCCAGATACTCCGCCTTGCAGAACTTCTTGAGCACCGACACTCTGGTGCACATCGCGGTCTTCTGCTGATGGTTTTCCAGAGCTATCCACGTTTCTCCTGCCGTCCACGAGCAGAAGATTATCGGCCGATGATAATGGCATTAGAAAATTTCGGAACGACTATTACAGGTGATGTCGTGAAGACAAAACTGCTGCAGGAACTACGTGTGTCACCATCGTCATCGGCAGGTGCTGTGTTTTCAAGCAACAAGCACCAGGGTCTAAGATTTAAGCAGAGTGAACCTGTTTGCACAGGAGTCTCGAAAATCAATGTTTCAGATGAAGCTACAAAATGGGGAAAAGGCCCAAACTGCACGCCAGATAAGTAGGTGGATACGTGGTCCTGCGTTTCTCTACGGAAAGAAAAGTGAGTGGCCGAGCAGCGGATTCGAGGTACCGGAAGAAACAACGGAAGAATTACGATCGGTATAATTTGCAGTCACTTTCTAACAGTTCCGATCATTGAGATGGAACGATTTTCCAAATACGAGCGTCTGTTGCGGAGTGTAGCATACGTTTACCGCTTCCAAGAGAAAAGATTGCGACGAGCTGGAAATACACAGTGCGGAGGTGCAGAAGAGTTAAGCAGTGAAGAATTGCAGAAAGCAGAGCGGAGTCTGTGGTGACTTGCGCAATCGGGGTGCTATCTGGAAGAGGTAGCTACTTTAAAACAAAACAGTCAATTGAAGAAAGAACAGGAGAAGGCATTTGAGAGAAGCAGTTCTATAGTGAAGCTACCTCCTCTACTCGAACAGCACGGAGTTCTCCACGTAATAGCCATATCGCAGCAGCAGACTACGTTCCTGACGATACCAGATGCCCTATCATTCTGCCGAGGGGTCATCAGATTACCAACCTGATTGGTATCACCGTAAACTTCTACCGAATTTGTTTATTATCCAGGTTGGAACCAGTTCCAACCCGTGCGAACCCGAGCTTCTTGTCAGTGCGAACCTCAACCCGAGCCAGGTTACAAAAACAAACGTTAACACTAACGTTTGCTAGACAACAAGGAGACCCAATCTTGATACCCGATCCAGGTTGGAACTGAAACAAAAACAAATTCGCTATTCGTCACGCTAAAAATGAAACAATTGTCAATGAAGTGCGTCAGAGATATTACATTGCAAAACTCCGAACTCAAGTACGCTCTGCAGCACTTCGGTCCCAGTGGTGCCGCGGCTATAAAGTGAAACCCGTAGCACCAAAGATGGGTCAACTGCTTCGGATCCGAATAACGCCGTTCCTACGACTGTTCACGTTTGTAGGAATCGATTATTTCGGCCCCTACTTCGTTAAGGTCGGACGAAGTTCCTTTAAGCGCTTGGTGGCGGTCTTTACGTGCCTTACCGTTCGTGCATTATATCTGGAGATAGTCTTCAGTTTGACAGCTGATTCGTGCAAGAAAGCCATTCGACGGTTTACCGCCCGAAGAGGAACACCGCAAGAAGTGTACACGGACAACGGCACCAATTTCGTTGGTGCTAGCAGGGAGTTGGAAAGTGAGTCACGAGAAATCAACGTCGCGACGAGCAGCACGGTCACGAACACCAAATGGCGTTTCAACCCTCCCTCTACCCCTCACATGGGTGGATGTTGGGAACGGATGGTACGATCTGTAAAGACTGCGTTGGGATCATTGCCAACGTTACGCAAGCTAGACGATGAATCCTTCATGACACTGTTAATCGAAGCAGAACACATGATCAATTCACGACCGTTAACGTTCGTGCCACTGAGCAATGAAGAGCAGGAGTCGTTGACTCCGAATCACTTTTTGATGCTTAGTCCGAGCGGAGTTCGACAGCCGGTCAAAGCTCCCGTGGATGAAATAAAAGCTCTATTGAAGAGTTGGAAGCTACTACAACATATGCTGGATGCGTTTTGTCGGCGTTGGATTATTGAGTACTTACCAATCATCTCCCGCAGAACCAAGTGGTTTCAAGACGTGGCACCAGTCAGGGAAGGAGCGATAGTGGTAATATCAGACGAAGGAGTTCGTAACCAGTGGACACGAGGCCGTGTGATCCGTACATATCCGGGCAACGATGGTGTAGCACGTCGAGCCGACGTAGATATATCTAGCGGGGTATTGAGGAGACCGGTTTGCAAACTTGTGGTTTTGGATATAGTTTCTGATGGTTACGTCGAAACGGATTCCAGGCGTCACGAGAGGGAGAATGTTGCCACTGGACAGTCCCTCGAATCAACATGAGAGTGTGTGTGTATGTGGAAGAGTTAGCAGATAAATTAACTGTCAACGGTTATAGAACGTGGGTTGTCAATTAGGGTAAACAATCAGAAAAAAAAAGTTTTGTCATCATTGTTGTAGTTTTTTTAAACTAGTTCGTTTATCTACTAGGCTCAGTCATGTGTGACACTTTGCGGAGCCAAAATCAGTAATAATTGATTTACATTTTAAATAGCAGTATTGCTAGGTTAGTATTGGGTACCAATTACTCGTGGCGGGCTCGAGGTTAATGGGTAACAATTTCGATTGGAAGGATCTAGGTAGGAAACTGGTTTCTGAAGCCTCCTTCAGATACTACTCTCGAACGGTTGACCAAATCCTGGCTGGGCAGGGGCAAGTAGCACACTAACAGGAGGATAATAAGACTGGGACACAATGACGGGAAATTGTTTGGAAAGGAGGGGAAGGTCACATCAAACTCTAACATCAGACAAACAAAGGAATTCGTAGATCGCTTGCATGTAGGGAAGATCACGTGTTCCCAATACATCTCTTACTTCACGGAAGGGTTGTCTACCTCGGGCCACTAGGGTATCAAATAGTCGTGCTCTGGAGGCGTCATTACCCGGGCAATACCAAAGTACGTGATCGATGTCATCATAACCAATTATGCACCTTCATATATTGCTGTCAACTAGGTTTATTCTATAGAGATGTGCGTCTAGCGAGTAGTGGTTGCACGAATCAATCCCCGACTTACATCCAGACCTTTGAACCACGCTCTCGAAGAAACATTTGGAATAATGGAA